GCTGGCCTGCCTGCTTCAGCCACTGCCTGCAGCTCCTGTAATGCCTGGCTCAACCGTTCCTCAAAGGCCACAGCCATCTCGGGCCCAGGCCCTGGAACTCCTGGCATACTGCTATCGGGGCCTCTTTGAGGCACAATGGTGGGGCAGTAGCAGGGGCTGCCACCTATGCTGACAGCGTCGGTCTCTGCAGCTGGTCTGAGGGCGAAGGCAAGGGCAGTGAGCCCGCCCCGCCCCTGCTGGCCTCCCAGCCTGCCACCAGCCAGCTGGAGCAACTGCCCAAATAGAAACCTATTCTGGGCTCCTCTATGGAGGGGATAGAGGGGGATGGGTAGCCTGCCCAAACAGGCAGACAGCCTGTTGCACGTCTCAAGGATTACCAAGACCAGAGCCCCATGACCCATAGGTAGAAAAATGGAAGCAGGGAGCAGGACATGGACTGAGACACCATGCATATTAGCTGGGAGACTTCTATTTGCTGGCCTCCTGTATATCTCTGCTCTCATGCCTCATTGTTTTTGAAAGCTTTGAACAAGTCAGTGAAATGGAGGCACAAAGAGATGGGATTTTGAGCAATCTGCTGGAATGGGGGCCCTGAGAGACAAGTCCTCTAGCCCAGCCTCAGTGTTCAGATCCAACCCCACAGGCTGCACAAGTGCAATGTGGTCACATCATCTGCCCTCCTCAGATGGGGGAGACAGGTGAGCTGTGAGTGCCAGAGTCGTCTTTTTTATTTTTTTCAAGACAGGGTTTGTGTAATAGCCCTGGCTGTCCTGGAACTCGATTTGTAGACCAGGCTGGCCTCAGATTCAGTGATTTGCCTGCCTCTGCCTCCGGTGCTGGGATTAAAGGCATGAGCCACCACCACCACCCGGCTTGCCAGAGCCAACTTATCCTGACACCTTCCATTTACCCCAAAAGCCTCATCTGACACCCATCCCAATCTATTGGGTCCTGCTTTGTGGCAAGAAGCCTGCTGTGGTCCTATTCTATTCCTATTATCCCTCAGAAGATCCAAATCTAGCTCTTTCTGACTACCTCACCTCAGTCAAAGTTCCATTCAGTCTTTCATACAGCATAGACAGCATTACCTGGGCAGCCCACTAGGAATCTCTTCCCCAGCTCAGCTCCCAGACAGTTGATACTGGGCTTGGGAATGAATAATAGAAGGAATACATCGTATTCAGTTCCCGTGGCACCTGCTAGGCTGATGCCTCACTAGGCTGGTGCCCCCCGCCTGTCTGTCTTCATCAGTGGTTCTGCCCTACCCCCGTAGCACAGATGCTAATCAACAATCTCCTAATGGACTGGGCTGAGCTTGCATTTGCCTGTGATCTGATCTACATGTTGGAGTTGATGTCCAGTGCTGGGTGGAAACGGGTATAAGGGCTGCCACAGGAAGAAGGCAAAAGCCCTTACCACCTTCTCGAAGCTTCAGTCTTCACATTTGTTCATTAAGAATGAACTGATAGATTTAGATACAAGGATCAGAGATCAGCAAATGGATCCAGGCATGGTGGCTCATGCCTGTAATGGCAGCACTCAGGAGGTGGAGGCAGGAGGATCACTGAGTTCAAGTTCAGCCATGGCTATGTACTAAGATCATTGCCAACCCAGGACACAATAACAAAAGATCAGCACATGGGAAGAATGCCTTCAGATATGTCTCAGGGTGACACAGTGGTTTCATCTTAACCATGCCACCAGCTACCTGTGGACCACTGGCATCAATGCTTCTCCTCTGGCCTCAGTTGCTTTGTGTGCACAGTGGTGGAGGAGCACAGCAGAGAAAGCCTGCTAGACTGGCATCCTTAAGCCCTCTCTGGAGGTGGTGAATGGTGAAGCTGCTGGAATGAAGAGGGGCTCACCTTAAAGTTGCAGCCTCCTCGGTTACCAGGGGAGGCATGGCTGAAGGTGGTGACGTGAGTGACACTGCCCAGTCGGGTCACAGTCCCAGGGCTGCTGACACGGGTGATGGTGCTCTTGCCCCCACTGCTGGTGCTGAGGAGGGTCGGGGGTGTCCGCAGTCCCAGTGTCAATTCTGGTTGGGGACAAGGGCTGCTGTTGGGGCCAGGTGGAGTGAGGGCAGTGCCAGTCAAGGTGAGTGACACCCTGGACAGTGGCCGTAGCACTGGTCTCACATGCAGAACTGGGAGTGAGGGGTTGTAAGGACTCCACCCTGGCAGTGAGAAGCCTACCTGCTCTCTGGTTGCCTGTGGGTAGCAGCACCCGGCCTGCAGAGGCCTGGCCACGGCCATCCTTGATCTCAATGGTAAATGTAGTAGTCTTCATACTGCCCCCTGGCTCCCCAGTTCCGATGCCCACAGGCAGTGGGGTACTGGGCTCTTCTGAGCAGGGCTTGGGCCCCCCTGCTCTGTTTTCAAGGGACCTGGGAGTCAAGCCACGCCCCCCAGGGCCCTCCTCTCGAGGGCAGCTCTGAAGCTGGGCCAGGGAATGAGCAAGTTCTCTTTGCTTCTTGTGGGAGGAAGTGTCACTGGGGCCTCGAGAGGAGGAGTTGCTGGAGGAGGCAGGGGTGGTGCCGATGCAGGAAGAGCCCAGGAGCTTTGTGGGGGTCAGCGAAGTGAGGGCTGTTCGGGGACCATCCTGGAGCCTGGCAGCCACAGGAGAATCAGATGTGAACTTTCGGACTCGGTCTCTGACGGAGCCAGTCCGTTGGAACTGGGATGATCGTGCAAGGGGGGCTGGCTCTGGAAGAGACAAGAAGGCTGTCAGTGGCTGGGTGGGATAGGGACTGCCCAGAGCCTGGGGATGGCAAATATGGGCAGTACCTCTATTTGGGGCTGGCTGTCGGGGACTGAGCACAGATACAGAGCACTGGCAGGGTTGCAGTTCAGTCAGATCTGGTAGGTTGGTGAGTGGGTGGCCGCCATACGGGGGAAGAGAAAGAAAAGTGGATGATGGGGTGGTTGTCCATGTCACATCTATCTCAACACCTCTGCAGCGTTCTTACCACATTCAACACACCCACTGCCGAGGCCTGTCTACTCAGCTGCAACTCTTGCAGGCTCCCCCCTTCTCTCCTGCACCGACCCAGGATGATGTGGGCACTCTTAGGAGCCAGGGGTAAGTTTGGGCCAGAGGAAGGTATCCTAACTGATGGGACGAGGGGACAGTTCCCCCACCCCCAGCCAGTACTGCCCATAGATCCAGCTGGGTGATGGGTATACTCCCTTATTGGGGAGAAGAATGTGCCTGAGGCCTGTTGCCTTTCAAGGCTGTAAGGAGGCCTCTGGCCATGGGTGGCAGGGCGGGAATACCTCAGGGGCAGGGGCAGGGATATCAGGGACTGCCTGAACCTGAGAAAGCTAGAGCTGTTAAAGCATCAGGACCCATCCTACAGGCAGGGAAAAGGGAAAGCAGGAGCCTATAGCAGCCTTCACAGGGATCCTCACCTGCTCTCTTAGTGTTAGAAGAGCCTCTGGCGGGGCCCAAGGTAGTAGAGGGCTCTGTGGGGTCAGGCAGGGGCTGCAAAGGAGACACCACAAAGCAGGGGCTCTCAGACCAAGGAAGTCACTTGCCTGGCATCCCTGCCTCTCACCAAACTCACCTTGCTGATGACCTGCCCCTGAGAGCTGGGGGTTGCTGGTGACAAGGGGGGCTCAGGACTGGGAGCTCCTGAAGGTTGAGGAAGTGGCTCAGAGCTGTCTAGAGCCTCAGCAACAGGACACTGGGCTCCAGCAGGCTCTAGCAGAGGCTCAGGAGAAGCAGTGGTGGGTGAACTGTCAGGTGAGGTGGGCGAGCTGGGTGCACCCCCTGGTGGGGCCCTCAGCAGGAGTGTCACTGTGGTCACATCCTGGCTGGTGTCCTCAGGGGTTGGGGATGGGGTCGGGGTTGGCTCTGGCACTTCTGTCTGCTGTTTCTGTTGTTCTTGCTCTGGTACCTGCAGCGGACCCACAGGATGCAACCAAGGCTTCTCTGACTCCGAGTGCTACCCCCACCCATGGAGGGCCAAGCTGACAGAGCAGGTCATGCAAAGCAGAGGGGCTGGGCACAGCTTCCTAAGGTAACACCTGCATAAGGAAGGCTAGTCAGTGCTAAGGAGATTCGACGATGAGCAAACCCTAATGTCAATGGTTGCTGATAACAGGAAGCTAGCAAGGGACTCCTATTCCTAAAGGATGTCTAGAGCAGAGATCTGGCCTCAGACTGGCTAATCGGAGAGAAGTCGAGTTGTGCAGGCTGGGCAGCTAGCATCCTCTGCTGGCCATTAGTGGAAACTGTATGTTTTGACTTGTATTTTTCACTACCTGAAGAATAGATGACACTGAGCAGCGCTCAGCAGGGGCCTGACATGTAGGCCCTGGAGAGGTAAGGATGCGGGCTGTCCAGAGGGTAAGGGGCAGCATGGGATGTGTTTAAGCAGGGGAGGTACCAGGACTAGACTTGCATTTCTAGGAGATCCTTCTTGGAGCCTTGTAGACAGACTGGCTTTGAGAGAAAACCCTGAGTTCAAGGACTGGAGTGGAAGGCATACGGGTTGCCTGAGAGTATAAGAAATGAACTCCAGGGTTTCCTCATACACTGGCCAAGGGCCAGCTCCCAGTCAAATGGCAGTGTAGCAAAGGAACACAGGCACTGTGCCCTGTACTACTGGCATCAGGAGGCACAAGACACTGGATCACCCTCCCTCCACACCACAGTCCTTACCTTACCAGGGTCCAATCTGTGAGCTGCCTGCCTCCTGCTCTCCTCCTGGGAGTCACTACTAGGAAGTCTACTGCACAGTCTCCCAGCCAAGGTGGCAGCTGGAAGGGCAGGGGCAAGTGTCAAGAAGTGACTGAGATACTGTAGGCAGCAGTCTGCAGGGCAAGGGTGGGTCTAGGGCAGGGCACCTACCTTCAATCTCCTGAGCTCGAACTCGTCGGATGGCAGCTCGGATCAGCTTACGTTCCTCGTACTCACCGGCACTCCGAAGCTATGGGTGACAGTCAGGCCACAGGGGATAGACTATGGAGTCCAGGTCTTCATTTACCCTTCCCCTACCCCTTGCCTGCCCTGGGCCTCACCAGTATGGTCAACTCCTCCACATCATTCATGGACTCCAGCCTCCCTGCCAACCGTGCGAGGGCAGCCTGCTGTTCAGCTTCCCGCTGTTGAGAGCTGCAGAAACATCATGAGTGTAACTACCACTGCATGACAGCGACTGCAGGATGTGAGCTCAAGAAAAAGGTCAGAGAAGTCGGGCAGTGGTTGCTCATGCCTGTAATCCCAGCACTTGGGAGGCAGAGGCAGGCAGATCTCTGTGAGTTCGAGACCAGCCTGGTCTATAAAGAGCTAGTTCCAGGACAGGCTCCAAAGCTACACAAGGGAACAACCCTGTCTCAAAAAACCAAAAAGAGAGAGAGAGAGAGAGAGAGAGAGAGAGAGAGAGAGAGGGAGAGGGAGGGAGGGAGGGAGGGAGAGAAGAGACGAGGAGAGGAGAGGAGAGAGAGAGAAGAAAAAAAAAAGGAAAAAAGAAAAGAAAGGAGCTTGAACCTTGACAGAGAGACATGGAGCTGTCTGTGAAGAACCTCTGAGAAAACATCGATATATACATACGTGGACACAGACACTAATGCCACATGCTACCCATACTCTCAGCCAGAGTTGGAACTTAGTCCATACCCACAAATAATCTGTGCATTCCAATGCTCACAGGCAACAGGCATACCTGCCTCCACACGAGCTGATCCCTGGCACACCTGCACTTGCAAACCCAGCCCCCTCTGCCACTCACTGTAGCCAGTTCTCCTTGTTGTCTTGACGCTCAGCACGGAAACGTTTGGATGCCAGAGCGCCCTCTTCTCGCTCTAGCTCCTGCCGCTGCAGCTCCCGGATGGCAGAACGGATCCTGACCTCCAGCTGCAATGTAGGTGGGAGTGAGGGGTAGGGCTTTCTGTCAGGGGCAGAGGACTGGCACCAGATGCCCACAGTTCTGCCTGGGGCACAATGAGAGTCTTGTCTCCAGTCTCTCTAACCTAACCCTTCCACGTGCCTGCTTCCCACTCAAGACCTTTAGGAGAGACCTAGATCACGACGCCAAAGATCCTGAGGAGCCCACTGCACACTGTGATACACAGATCCCCTTCTGTGAGTGCAGAGCCAGCAACCATCAACCCAAGCCAAGTGCCAAGCAGTCAGATACTCCTTTATGTGACTTGACGCCTGCTCTCCCGAGTCTTTCATTAACCTTTTAGACCAGGGAGCCACAGCAGGAAGAATGTGGTCACCCTTCTGAGCTACCAAGGGTCCCTGGAAAGGGAAGGGTGATTCAGGTAGCTGAAGTCCCCTGGTGATCTAGTCCCAGAGTAGCAGGACCCTGTTGGGAAAGATACTATTTGGGAAACTGAGGCAGAGGCAGGCGCTGTAGAGTCCCAGTTCTCTGGTTAGCTGAGGGTTACTTTTTCCCCTTTACTGGCTTTGGACTAGTCCTAGACATCATGGAAGAAGTTAAGACCCAGAATGGGAAGGGCAGGTCCCCTAGAGAAATCAGGATAAGGCAGCTAGCAGTAGGGTCTACCTAGAGCCCCCAGAAGTGTCCACCAAGTACAGGAGTTCCCACCAGCTTCTCAGCCCAGCAGTTCATGGGAAATCAGATAGGAGAGCGCACTTCTCTGTGGTGTGAGGGCGATCCTGGCACCTTCCCCACACCGGCATAGTGCCCCCTCAAAGGGGGTCTTATGGAAGAGGCCTGGCTCAGGGCTTGCCAACGGAGCAGTGGCAGAGCTAAACCTCCAGTGTGGATCTGATAGGCAAATAGGAACAAGTAAAGGGCAGGGTGATAAACTCCCTTTTAAATCCTTCCTAGTTGTTCTTTCCTTCCCGATTGGGGAACTCAGATTAAGACAAGCTGGTTAGTGGCTAAACTGGACCAGCTCACACTCCCTACTAAAGCCTGTTTTTCTCTGCCCATCCTCTGGCTTTAGTAGGGAGTGAGAGCTGGTCCAGTTTAGCCACTAACCAGCTTGTCTGAATCTGAAGAGAGCAGGCAAAGCCTTGGGAGACAGCCCTCCACAATCCACATTCCTGAGGAGCTAGGGAAAGTCAGTCTCCTGAAGCTCAGGACTGAGCCCTCCATCAGTACCAAGTCTTGGCTCTACAATTAGGGTGTATGTCTTAACCTGTTACTGCTTCCTAATTTTCCAGATGGGACAATGGCCTTTAGGACAGAGAAGAAGCTGGAAAGGGAGCAGTGATGCAGGGGTGGTCTCCTCTGCATATACAATATGCATGTGCAAAACACATTGCCTCTCCTCTTGGTTCTAGTCAGCCAAGAGTAGAAGGCGAAAGAAAGACAGAACATACTGGTATATTTTTTGAGAACCAAACTGTGTCAGACTCTACACTAAATCCCAACTTGTTCTTTCTGTTTGTTTGAGACAGGGTTTCTCTGTGCAGCCCTGGCTATTCTGGAAATTGCTTCTAGACCACACTGGCCTGGAAATGGGATTCACCTGCCTCTGCCTCCAGAGGGATTTAAAAAAAATATTTATTTGAATTTATGTGTATGCATGTTGTCTGTATTAAGAGTATGCTTCATGTGTATGGGTACCTGTGGAGGCCAGAAGAGGACATCAGATCCCCTGGAGCGGGAGTGGTTGTGAGCCACCTAATGTGGGTGTTGGGCCTCTCCAGCCCCCTCATCTACTCTTGATACATTATTTCCATCTGATAATAGGGAAATGAATACCTTGTTTATGTCAAATAACTTGAGAGTTCAAACTTTGGTCTCTCTGACTGCAAGGTTTACCTAAGACTGAAGATGGTTGCAATGTTGGGTCTCTGACATGGCGTTCTGTACTGGAGTGCCCTGTAGCCTGGTCTAGAAATGTCAAAGCCTTGGGAAACCTTAACAACCAAGGCAACGAAGTCATTTCCCGAAATATTTGGAGGTTGGTGGCCTTAGGGGACAGCTGGTCCAGACTGGTCCAGAGTTTAAAGGCCCAGAGATACAATAACTAACCCTTTATATCATGGGTCCCCATTTCCTAGCCCTGGAAAAAAAAAAGAACAAGATAGGAACTTGGCCATTTCTACAACCCCTGGGTATCTCAGTGTCTCGATCTGGAAACTGTGATCCTCCCTTTGAATCCCCTAAGAGGATGGGTAGCTGAGAGATGGACCTCATTCTGCTGGCCACTCCCTGGCATGATTCTTCCTTTTGGGCCTGTGGGCAAAGCTCTGACCAGTGTCCCTGCTGTGTGTCTTGTGTTCCCCACCCTCTCAAACACCAAAGGTCAGATCACAGTGTTTCTACTGTGTCCAGAGTTCCCCACCCTCTCAGTCACCCCCAATGTGTGTGGAGGGGACTGTGGGAGGGAGGGAAGGAAATACAAAGAGCTATTGTCCACCAGGGGGAAGGGGACGGCTTCCGAAACTGCCTAGTGAAATTCTCCTGGGAGGAAAGAGGGTGCTTCCTCCTCCTGCAGGAGGCTGGAGGTTGGGGGGTGCGGGACTGGGCTCTGGCGCTTTCTACTCTTGCTGCTGGGGCGTCTGACCAACCCAGGGTCTCTGTAACTTTAGTCTCTCCACCTGTCCAAGAAGCGATTCTCCTCAATCCCAGGATCAGAGCAGCCCGAAATGAGAGCAATGGGAGATGCCTCGCCAGGGGGCGCTGAAGGCCCGCACGCCGCGGCCACTAGCGCGGGGCTCGCCCACGCCCCTCCCCCCGAGTCTCCAGCCGGGCGCCGCTGCTAGGAGCCCGGCAGGAAGCCCCCCGCTACCGCCAGCTTTAACGTCCCATCTGCAAAGGAAGGGAGGTTCACAGCACCTAAGCTGCTTCCCTAGGTCATACGGCCGGGAGGTAGAAGGCGTGCAGACACGTGGCAAGGAGCACACGTGGCGTGCTTGTCCCCGGGTGCCCCTGTCCCGCACAGCCTACCACCCCGACCTCAGGAATGTGCGGGAGCGGGGCCGGAAGCAGTTGTGGCTCCCCGAGTCAGCTGGGCACAGCTTTCCCATATAAGGCCGGGCCCTGCGGGGAGGAGCTGGGTTTGGGACGCCCCCGTTCCTGCCACGAGGCCGGAGGGTTGGACCCTCATAGCTCTGGGGCGCAGCAATGGCGGGCACGGAGCCGTGGAACCTCAGGGCGGGGGTGAGCCTGGGGCTGCGGATCCGAGACGGGATTTGGTCTCGCTTGTCCTTTCCTCCCAGGCCCCGGGGCTGGGAGGAAGTACCTCCGTCAACTATTGCGTCTGTTTCTTCTCTGTATCACTTTTTCCAGCTCCCAAACCTTGCGTGAGTGGGGTCTGATACTGGAGAATCCCTGAGATCAAGAGTGCGTGGACACCCAGCCTGGCTTTCCCTCTGGATAACGCTCCTGAGTCTGCGACCCTCAAGAGGACACTGACTTCCTGAGGGGCGGCGAAGATGACTGGAGGGTGGGCCTCTTTGGAGACGCAACCCCATCTCCAGTGGCTGCAGTGAACTCAAGATAAGGTTAAGGTGCTGGCCCCAGGACACACAGGCCAACTGCCTGGGGAGATGAAGGCAACTAGGCCAAGTGGCCCCAGTCTCTGCCTTTAAGGGCAAGGATTGTTGGTGGTGTGGGACACTTGTAGAGAAAGTAAATCTCTACTTTTTTGCCCCGGATGATGGGGCTCTGGCCCCTCTCCCGGTCGGCTACTGCATGGCCTTGTGGATGGGCACATTACTGGCCTGCTGTGTTGTCCCACTGCCTGTCTGTACACGGGAGTAGGAAGAAGGCGGTAAACAAGGATGGAGTGGACTAATTCAGCCTAAAGTTAGGGCCATACCTTGTTTAACCCCTGTGCTGACATTAGCACACCCCAACTCCCTTTAAACAAGTAAAGAAACTCAGGCTTAAAGAAGAAAACTACACATTAGACATCACAGAACCCATAAGGGCTCATAGTCTATTTCTTTCTCATGGTTCTTTCAGACTCTGGGTATCCCAAGATCACTCTGGAGTTTGGACCCTGGTAAAGCTTTTAACCTGGAGCTTTTGGGTATGTGATTTTACCACACAGAGTGACAATGACACTGGCCCTCTTGGAGCATGTGTGAACATTCTGTAAGATGGTGTACTTGGCACCCTACTGCTGTGCTCCGGTTTATTAATCATTGCTGCTACCATTATCATTGGGCAGGTTTCCAGGAATGGGCAGTGCCCAGGCTGCTGGGGAGAGGCAATTCCAGCCTTCCCACACCTGTAGCCCATGGGTGAGTCCCCAGAAGTTACTGTTTAAACAGGAGATGACAGTTGGGGGTGGGTAGGGGTCAGGTCTCAGCACTGAAAACGGACACATGCCACAAGGGCCTTTGGATCAGCCAAATGGAACCAACCTGGCGCTGTTGTTCCCTTAACCTCTCCTCCAAACCCCTCCCTCTCCTTAAGTGCTGAAAAGTACAGAAGTAGTGGCCCTATATCCCTGGGTTGGTTCTTGCCCACCCCATAGTACAGTAACAGGGCTACTTACCAGTTTTCGGAGGGCTCCCTCATCCAGCCCAGCTAAGGCCTCATCTGCCATCATGCTGGCCTCTAGCTCCTTAAAGTGTGTCAGCTCCTGGTGGCACTCAGGGACTTCTGCAAGAGGCAGACATGAGTTAGATTACTGGAGCTTGTAGACATCTCAGTCCTTTGGGTTTTATGCCTGTTACCCTCTCTAGCCCATGAGCATTCGTTTCTGTTCTATCCTCCCCTGCCATGCTGAAAAACTCACTAGCCAAGAATAGGTATTCCTGTTCCAGCCTTACCAGCTTAACTGCCAGTCTGCCCTGTGGTCTAAGTTGGCATCCTGACTAAGCCCCAAACAAGGAGGGCATGGCCCTGGATTGAGAAAAGGAATCAGATCAGCAAAGCCCACCCAAGCTGTTTACCACCAGGGGGTACAAGCCATTCTTTAGCTTCCTGCCACAGCCACTCATCTTTTAGGCTTGCCCAGCCTACCCCTCTACCTGTCCTCTCTCCACAAGCTGGGCATCAGGCTGTGGGCTGAGCCCATGTCTTGCAGCTACTGTCACTCACCCTGTAGGTACAGGGAGCTACTTGTGTCTTATCGGTTCTGGGAGCCAGCCTTCTGTGCATATCCATTCTCACTCCTTTCCTCTCTGTAACACCAACTAACCTGACCTCCTGGAACCAGGTGTCCAGCTCTCCCTGTCAGTTCACACACTTAGAACTCACTCACAGTTCACCTCCCAAATGGAAGCTGACCCACCCAACCTCTAGACTTCAGTCAAACGCAAAAGATGGGAGAGGGCCAAAGATTCATCGTGGGGGGTCAGTGAAGCTCAGACTCCAAGGGCAGGAAGTCTAATGTGAACCCTGGTTACTTCTGCCCTCCGAAGTCCCCTCCCCAAAATGCCACCAAGACTTCAGGATGTTTGTTTCCTGTCCAATTGCTGTCCATCTAAATGGATCCCTAAATCTGGTGCCAGTCTTCTACCCCAACTCTCCTTCCTGGAGCCCTGGAGTCTCTGAAACTAGAGAATCCATGGCCTAGTACACCTGGATGTTTAGTTAATATGATGACTGAAATGGCCTCAGGACCCCCACCTCCTTTGATTCATGCAGAAATCATCCCTTCTCTCTACAGTCACTTAGTGTGAGTCACCCCATCCGGTGAATGGGTCTGGGGGAGCCCTAATATACACTAATTGGAGTTTGAAGAACCCCGTCTGTCCAAGTGACTGCTTGAGCTTGCCAACCATTCTTAGGGTCGTTGCCTCCTGATCTGGCTACTCTGTCTGGGGTAACTCCTCCTCCCCAGTGTCATTTAATGGTCACCACCAGTCTTAGATATTGTGGACATGCTATGCTTCCTCATGTTGGGCAAGGGTGTCCCTAGTACCACTCTGCTCAGAAGTCCCATGGCTTCATGCTACACAGTTTGAGGTCCTGGAGACTTGTTAAGGCCCTGCGAGAGTGGGGTCAGATCTGGGAAAGCTCAGTTCCCCACAGATTAGTGTCTCTGAGGATCGTGGAGCCTCTTCGAGGTCCATAGGTGCCTCGCCAAGGTCTCAGAACCTTAATCCTGTGACTTGAAGCTCCCATAATTTGGTTGGGGCTTCCGGACCTGGGAGTTCCAGAATCCCTGTCCAGATACCCAGGTTTCACCACCCCACCCTCCCGACTCATCTTGGCACCTAGGGTCTCCCCGAGATACTCACACCCACCTCTCAGTCCGACTCTTTTCCGTGCGGGTTCCTGTTAGTTTGCTCGGGACCCGGCAGATGCAGAGGAGACGGGCGGGCGGGAGGCACCACAGCCCGGGATCCCAAGCAGGTTCAGCAACGTCCCCTGGACTCTGCGGCAGACGCCTGTCCCGGGGGGGCAGGCAGGTGGGTGGCCCC